AAAATGCACCTCAAAAAATTTTATAATAGCCCAGCATTGCCAGAAAATAATTTTTATTCAAAGTAGAGCGGTAAGTTGTGTGTTGCGCCCACCAGATTTTTTTATACCATTTTATATATTAGGTTGCCGGGCAACGGTGGTGCTGTGCACAACGCGTTACCCATTCGGCCACCCCGCCCATCGTAATATAATTATATAAACTTTTCCAACATTGGTGAAACACCAATATTACAGTTAAGTTTTGGCCTTCAATGGTACGCTATTCCGATATAACGCTTTTTTAACCTATGCCTACATAAATCACAAGTCACTATAATTTCTAAATTGTTTCACACTGCTTACTGCTTGTTTCACGATATTAATAGGGGAACATGGATGAGACCCATCAAAACAATGTTTGAACCAACTGATCACAACAGAAGTAAAATAGCGGAATGTGGGCCACCGCCTAAATATAGCAAGATTCTGGAGGTCCCGATATCTCTACACTTTTATTTCCATAGTGAATTTGTTTTGTGATAATGAACGTTTTATCATTCTTCATTACTATTCTTTAAGTTGCAAAACAAATTTTGCATAAACAAGCAAAAAATAGTATACGTATATCTCCCTCATATTTATTAAATATACAGAAGAATAAATAAATGGCTAAGAACTGTAAAGAAAAGGAACTATTTTACCAACTGGTTTAAAATATTCCTACATCTATGGCCTCTGATGTTCACCAAAGCAGCTGCTACATTTTTTAATGCTGAGTAATTTTATGTATTGGCAAAATAGCTACTTTTATATTATTATTGGATTTCGACAACCAAGATGAAATATTTGGATGGTAAAGGAAGCATTAGATTGTATTTGAAACTATATGAAATATTTTTAACAAACTACATATAAACTAATGTATGTACTATCAATACATGTCTATAAACAGATTTGTGTATTTTAATACTATCATCACCATCCATACATTGTTCTAGTAAAATTAAATCATTTTCACTTTCAAAATTAATTTATAAAACATTAACATTAATTTATTATTTCAATATATTCATTTATAAAATGTAATTCAATTTATTAATGTAAAATTAATGTAATAAATTAATTTTCACTTCTAAAATCAATCAAATATTAATGCAGTAAGACCAAATGGGTGCAAACACCTCTTTAATATGATAACACCAAGATTAATATTCATAGATTTTGAATATATATATTTTACAACATTAAAAAAATATATTATTCATATTTCATTTAGGATACTCTAGACCAGAGGTCTCCAAATTTTTTGGCCCGTGGGCCACAGTGAGACTTACACTAAGTTGTGGGCCACAGCTTTTGGTGAAAAAAAGAACTTGCTATAAAAATTATTGTTTTCTAAGTAAATGATCTTCATAAAGAAATGGAACATGCGATAAATGTTACAGTGGCCTTGTGTTTGAGTAATTTACCAAATTTCATATTTTTAAAATCATTTTTAAATGTTTTCCATGTAATCAAAAACCTTTCAAATGCCGGATTGGGAGCACATGAGGGCCGGAACACCCCGCTATATCTAGTTTAGAGACATCTGCTCTAAACTAAAAATTATTCTAAAGTCTACTTGAAGGAAATGACTAGCTTAAAAAATTATTACATCATAAAAATTATGTTACGTGCGTAAGGACTGTTGAAAAATAATGATAAATTTTAAGTATGTACTCTAAATTTTTGGTGCTATAGTAAATAGATAAGGCCTTTGGCATTTGGCAAGAAGATATGATTAATATTAAAAATTCTTGAGACACCTGTGCCTAATCCACTTATTTTGTCAATAAGTAATTAAAACTTTCTTTTGTTTTACATTGGACCTCGTATCATTGTCCGAACTTTGCTCTTAAAAAAATATATTTAATCTTGAAAATATTAAAGAATATTATGTATCAAGAAAAAAAATATATATTATGTGGTACAAATAAAACCTTCCAACTTTTTTTTTTTTTTTCTTCCCTACCTCGCCTTTTAGGCTATACGGGATTTTGCCGTGGGGTGAGGGCGGGGAATTTCAAATCCCCTCCGGCACCGGGACGCGAACTCGTACATTTTAAATCTTCTCAATTCTGTAATCCGGTTGCCAGGCAACTCGCGGTGCTGTGCACACGCTTTAGCCCATTCGGCCACCCCGCCCCCTTAAAACCTTTTAACTGCATTTTGAAAAAAATATATCATGTTTTGGCGGTTTTTATTTCAAAAAAATTCTGCAACCAGTGGAGAAATTGTTCTTCTATCGCCCACATTCAAGGCGGGAAATCGCGCTCCTTCAATTCCCCTCAGGAAAATTCTCCTCAGTTACTAACAGAGGAAACTCATCGTCAGTGAGAACCTGGATCCCTACAGCTCTCATTAACGCGGTCGTTAACGGTTCAAATGCGGTACAGGTCGTTGCCACCTGCCCTACAGTTTCCGGAATACATGTTGGGTATAGCGAGACGATATCAATGCCAAGAATGAGAAGCTTCGCTAGTAATCTTCCATGCCTCCATGAGAGTTGTAAAACCAAAGAGTACCGGATTATCTTCTTCTATCGGTTAGGTTCATCTATAGTTCTCACCTGATGATTTTCCGGTAGTCCTATTGAACCTTTTCCATTATACACATAAGAGAGCTTCTTACTACTTCTCGCAGGAGGAGGTCGAGAGAAGCTAAGACCCTCACCGTTTCATAAGATCGTCTTGTTGACTCTGGTGACCCTCAGCAGAGCCGTTCCTCTGTCACGGTAGGAGGTTATGATTCCCAAAGTGTAAGGCTTGTTTCAGGACACACTGAACCTCTCTGTCACGACAGTTATGTGTTTTTTCTAGATCTCTTTATCCTTCCGTTCCCAGATATTACTCCTTCCACAGCTTAGGGATTTTGGCTAGTTTTCATTGCTGGTCAGGGGAATTATATTAGATGTAAATCGATATGCTTCTGGCTCATCGCTTTTCTAAGGCGGGCAGGGGATTTCAGGAACTGCATTTATTTCTATATAGAAATGTATTCAAAATGTGTATAAGTATTTTTATCGGTTCCAGAAGGGAAGCGATTTACTTATTAATTATGCATTTAAAGGCCGCCGTACCACAGACCCCTACTGCAGTATCCTAGTTTGGAGTTTAATTTCCATCGGATTTATTTTCCAATGGTATCATGTTTACAATTTACTATTTGTAACTTTATGTCCTAATAGTGGCAACCAAGAAAATTGTTTAAAAAATTAAAATTTAGTCAAGAAGTAATCTATTTGTGATCGGAACCATTATTAATACATATGGAACTCTGTTGAATTTTTATTTATTGCCAACACAACATCTAAATGAATATTCTAACTTGGCTGGTTATATGGTGGAGCCCTAAACTATTTCTTCCTGGGTTTTTGTTGTGGCCTTCAACTCGAGGTCGGTTCTTGATTTCCCCTTTCCCTGAATCATCATCTTCGAGAAAACCTCTAAATCCGCTTCGCTCGAGTTCTTCTTGCCAGCGCTTCTCCATCTTTAAGCGGCCCTCTACTTCACTCGACTGCCCTATACCTCTGATTATTTTCAACTGACTGAAGCGTCTACTCTAGACTACCCTGTACAACTCTTCCAAGGTCTCGTTCCGACTGTCGTACCTATCCTGGCTGTCCATTAGGCTTATCTTTATTGCACTCATGAATGCATTGAAAGCCCACAGCACCGTTTTGAGACTAGGACCTTATCTGGCACCCACCTGAGGAGCTTTTGTCGGCGGCAATTAAAATCTCTCTTTATTAGACCAGGTCTATTTATTTGTATTAAATCTTATAAATATATTTTAATTCGTACGTCAGCCTCTACGATACGTAGAAAAATATGAATTAATGATATTAATATTTTTCCATCAGAAAAATGACAAGCTTTATTTTGAAAGTAAGATAAATTAAAGTAAAATTACAAATAAAATAGGCACAAAAATATTTTATAAAAAAATTTAATAATTTTAAGAAATTGATACGGGGCATGTGTCCCCTCTACCCTCTCAACAGGCGGATAGATCTACGGGGGGGGGAGGAGAGAGCTTTATGGCTGAAGTTCCCTCCCCCCCCCCCAAAACAATAAAATATAACCATGTTTTATAGAAAAAAATATTAAAAACTATGTCTTAAAGTATTATTGTTCGTGTAATTACATTTAATCGGACTTCAAGAATCACTTAAACATCATTTCATATAGGAAGTGAATTTCTTGTTTTTATTTCAAATTAATTATTGTTGTATATATGAAAAAAAAATCTTTTAGGCTAAAGCCCCTCCCCTCCTCCCAAAAAAAAATTAAATCCTGGATCAGCTAGTACCCTATCCCTATTTCCACCTCTGGCCAACGCTTAATATTTGAGCCCTCAAATGTATCGCGGTCCTCAAGTCGAGAGAAGGCTACAATAAAATATTACAACATAAACATTTAACCGTGACTTTATATATATATATATATATATATATATATATATATATATATATATATATATATATATTAATGTATGTTAAATCGAGCTCTTTTCATATTTACGAATTCCTTTTAAACAAAAATTTATTATAACTCTCTGAAAGCCCCAGGCAACGTAAATCCGCTGCTTCAAGTATTAATACTAAATAATTTGGAAAAATCCACAGACATCATTAACTAATTATTGTTAGCATCAAAAGGATTTTTTGTTTGTATAAATTTAGATTTCAGTCCTCGCTATGTATATCCTACAAGGTTACTTCTGTCACACGAGTGTAACAATAATCATACAAATCGCTTTTTCATGATATGTAAAGCATGTTCACTTTATTTTCATTTTAATGAGAAATTAAAAGTCATTTGATATATAGAGAGCATCAGACTACAAATTCATCGTCTTTGAATATCTGTGAGAAAAGTTTCTCTTGTCATTTTTATTTATTTTATTTTGTTTTGTTTGTAATACTTTAACTATAACGATGTCCGAAATAAAAATTCATAATAATTGGAGCTTTGTTTCAGATATACAAAGATGTATTACCAAAAATGGAAAGACTAATGACGAAAATGGGTATACAAGAAGAATCTCTGTGGGCTCATTGTATTGGGCAATTTAACAACACTTTAGTTCTAGAAGATTTGAAGGTAAGTTGAAACAAATTTTGTTTCTTGATATTATTATTTAAACAAACCCAAATAAATTATTTCATGCTCAATGATTAATAAGTTATGTGACAAAGAAATATTAGTTCAGCTTTAATAGTAGCTAATTTTAAAAATATTCATATTATAAGGAATAATTTTGGTGAATTAGGTATTCCAAAATAAAATTTCTCTAAGGGAATCCTGAACACCTCAATTCCATCAATGATAATTTTGAGTGTTTAAATGTGTTTTTTTTTCTAGTAATTAATAGTTTTATGAAGTGGTGAAAAACAAATATTTATCCATTCGAGGAGTTATTATCTGTTACATAAAATGATATTTTATAAACAGAGTAAATTCTATTTATTTTTACTTTTTTTTTTTACTGATCGCCCCAACCAATCTTCTCTTATATTATTCGCTACAGTCAACCATCAATTAACAATTATAAATTCAATTTAATTTGCAAGATAATGTTTATTAATTATAAAAGTAAAACATTCTCCTGTATATACAATATTAAATAATAAATCATATTTTTAAAACAATTTAATATTTAAAAAATATGGCATTTTAATTAAGCAAATTAACACAAATATTGCCGAATTAAGATGGACGTGATCTTCAGTAACGTTGCAAATAACATTCCAGACCTATCAGAAGGAACATGTTTACCAACACGATATTTTGAAAGGTCTGTAATTAAAATTCTTCAAGGAGGTGGAAAGTTACAGGAGTCTAAAAATAACCTCCATAACCGGCTTCCTGACACGAGGTCGAACTGTATATGTTTACAACTATCTAGTAGGTCATCGCACGTCTGCTAACTATACCTTATAGAGGCATTGTGCCTCTATAGCAGAAATTTGTGTATTCATAATTATTACATTATAATAATTATAAATATCATAAGAGCAATAATAATGTAGATAATTTTATAGCTAGGTTTCATCAAAATCAACTCCAGCCTTTCAATTGGTTTTGAGGTGTGTGGGATAAACGCATAATACCTTTTGAAGTGAAAACTTCTTTAGGGGCGCTTTGTACATTTTTTTGTGGAGAGTGAATTATATTGAGCCGTCAGATCTCCGATGTGTAACGTTCGGGTGAAGTCGGCTGGAGTCGACTGATTGAACTGTTTTTGCAAATGGATTTTGAAACTAAACCCGGGTCTACATACTGTAAGCGAGGGAAATGTTCAGCATTTCTTTCTCCTTATAATGAGCTATTAAAGGAGAATATAGCATGTAAGTTAAAAGTAAACAGATTGCGATAAAATAAAAATAAAAATCTTTATAAAAATCTTTTATCGCAATCTGTTTACTTTTAACTTACATGCTATATTCTCCTTTATTTTTATTTTTATTCCTACTTATTTTCCATTTATTTGTATCTTCTACATATATAATTCTTAATATTTAACTACATTGTCACCCACTATATCTCTGATACCATCTTTTATTTCTGTATCTGACAACTTCTTCGTATTTTATATATACTTATATTTATTTTTTATTTTAAACATGTTTTGTATCTTTTGTAGTCCTGAAGACGACCTGCAAAGTGGGTCGAAACGTCGGCAAAAATTAAAATAATTTATATATTTTAGTTTTTTTTATTTACTTGACCGCACCCTCGACTAACTCCTTCTCATATGATATATTCAGTTTCAATTTCCTTTTGGTGGTAATCCCAAAGAATTAATCTGGACAAAATAAACCTACACTGGTTAGAAAAAAGAAACAAACTCTAGCTGTTAGTGCTGTTATTACAACTAGATGCATGTCGATGCCTACCTAAAATCGAACAGGTTATACGAGTGTATTGCGGGAAATATAACTGACTATTTAAGTAAACTTTATTAGAGACCTTTTTAGTTACTTATTATAAATATTGTCCAGAATTATCACGTGTAATTTAAAAATTAAATTACAGTTTATTGCAAAAAGTCACAAACATTTTATAAAATTAAAGTGAGTCAATGTCTAAACTACCAAATAGCAAGAACATATACTTTTGAAATTTTAAAATAATTTTCGGTCGAAATTTGCCAATCTTGAATTCTGCTGCTAGGGGCAAAAGAATGAATTTTCTTCACAGAGTTAAAAACAAATCGTTCCAGGCAGTAGATATTATTACGCAACATTCTATTTTCTGTTTTGTTCAGGAAATCGAATAACCCAGTTGACAAAAATAATAAATAGAAAAGTAATTCATTAATGTAAACTATTCAAAAAAGAAGTCAAAATAATGTTTAAAATAATTAAAAATTTAAAAACTGAGTTTCATATTCAATTTTTTTACTTTTAATTACCTATATATGTAACATATAGTAATGTATATAGTATTGTGATCGTGAAAATTTTCTAATCTGAGTTTTCAACGGAGCTATATGTTTTGAGGACTCTTCAGTCTAAATAAACAAGTCATGCTAACTGGTCTGTGTGTGTGTGTGAACAGTCTAGCTCAAAAACGTAAGTCTGTACGCAACTGAAATTGTATATTTAAGGTTTGTGTGTGTTACAGCAACTTTTTCGTCGAAATCGGCTAACCGGAAGTGCCACTTCATATCATGGATTTTACAATTTTCTCAAAAACAGCTTTAACGATTTTGATTAAATTAATTATATCAGTGTAAAATTGAGTGTTTTTTTAATATAGTATAGATCTTTTCCCCATTGATCTTCTCTAACAGGGTTTAAATGCCTAATTTTCAAAACATTTTCCTTTAAAGTACTTTTAATTTTTTTTATTTGAAGTAATTAACCATTTCACATAATGAAATTATTTAAATAATGGTTGCATATAATGAATAAAGAAAATTTATTGGTAACTAAAGGAGAAATATGTGTTGGAAGCTATACGGAAACAGACGAGAGCGCCCGACTTTAGCCGGTCCTCTCCCTTTACAGACCATATAAACTTAATAATATACAATATTTACTAAAGTTGCGATTTTTTCAATGTGTTTCGTGATAAATGTGCCCTATAAAACCCAGAATTTTAACAAAAGATCCATTTTCCCCAACAATTTGTATTGTTTGATATCTGTATAGTCGTCTTAAAAGGAAATGGAAAGTGATGCAAACTATAAATTTGACAGATTCGATGGGCGGGAAAACATGATGATTAATTGTTTTAACTGAAGTTATGCTTTTTACTTTGGCTTCCGATATATGAAAATACTTTTTTACTCTAAGGTTGGTAAATTGTGTGATGCATGCATTGCACCAGATGTTTTAATTAGCAGATTTGTCACTGAGTTATCATAAAGTAAAAGGAGTTCTTCCAAAAACAGTATATCACATTTTATTAAACTGTTTTTGAAAGAACTTATTTTACTTCATGATAATCTAATTTAAAAAAAATTAAAAATGGAGTAAGTTAGTTTGAAAATTCTATGCCTCAACAGGAATTTTACATTAGATGTAAAAGAGTTTTTAATTTAAGTTTTAATTACAATCTAAATTGTTCATAAGTGTATTCTTTTTAAAGTAGAATGAAATTACATAAGAGTATATTGACCTCAGAGCATTGTGAAACTTATCTTCAAATTCTTATAATTTATTTAATTTCTTATTCTTATGATATATTCAATGAATATTTTTTAAAACTTCAAATATACAACTGTTTTTTTAAGAAGTACATTATAATAAATCTAAGTATTGAATTAAAATATCTAATAGAGGTAGTTATGAGGTATGTTGAAAAGTTCTATATCTGCCATCTAGATTAAATAAAAAATTCTAGAGACTAGTTCGGAAACTATACCTTTGGAATCCTTTAAGACAAAGAAATTTCACTTAATTGTGAATTATTGTTTTCTATGGAAGAAAATTTATTTTAAAAAATATTAATGCTGCTTTAAGTTTTTCTAAATAATTTAGAAAATAAATCTTTGATTGATTAATAAACCTAAATGAAAATATGGCATAAATAAATTAATAAATGAACACTTCAGTAGATTAATTATATTTGATTAGCCAGATGTAATTTTTAATAATCCCATATTTATAAAGATAATATTATATTACTCATATTGTTTACCTGTTTCTTTTTCGATTGAGATATTTCAAAACTTTGTCTAATATATGTACTATTATACAAATGAAACAGGTAAGCGGTTATCAAACAGTGGACCGAACCCGGGGGTTCGACTACCCGCATGCTGCTTTGGTCATCCGTGGGCTGGCTCAGTTCCATGCTCTGTCTGTAGTCTTACAAGACATAGGTGAACTGGAATCTTCTGATTTCAGAAACTTTGTCTTTGATGGGAGATACGAACACCTCCATGACTTTATCACTTCCAGCTTTCAGTATCTTCACAGAGTTGCTTCTCAAGAATGGTCTCCTGAATGGTAAGCTCTCAAATATACCTGTCACTAGTTACAGTGCTTACTCATTTCTTTTTTTTAATATCTCAACAGGATTTCTATCCATTGTCAAGCATTATGTCAATACTAAAACCAATGTCATCATCTTGACAAAATCTAGGAATGAAGTATATTCAAACAACTCTCATTTATATAAATTAAACAAAATTATTAAAAAACAACTCTTATACTTATAAAAAAAAAATTAAGTGAGTTTAACCTAAATATAAACTTCAATATTAATATTTATTTAAAAATAAATAAAGGAAGAAAAGATCCATTGTTTATAATTATTATAAATGGTAAGCTATATGCTTACTAATTAATAAAATAAATAAACTATAAAAGGAAATGAAGAAGTATATGAATGAAGTGAATATATGATTATCAATATACTTAAAAATAATAACTTATTCTAATGTTACTAAAGGATTATAACCTCTGATATCATTTACAAAATATTTATAAATAATATGTATTTTAGGGATTATAATACCATATTGTCATTTAAGTATATACTTATAAGTATCTCATAAGTAATATTGGAGAGTAATGTGCTAGATCCAACTTGGAGCCGCATTTTTTTTTACCGCATCAGTTCGGCTGACATATAATTGTGGCCAAGTCAAAATCTACCTTCTTTGAATTAATTTTGAGGTTTACGAGATAAATGTGTAACACTTTTTCACGGTATATCCTTTAAAAGTCTAACCCTCATACTCTAATAAAATCAATAAAATTCTGACTAATAGTTCATATGTTGGATATTGGCAATCTTTGAAGTTAAAATTGTGAAAAAACATTTTAATAAAGGTAAAATGAACTCCATCTAATCGATACACTAGATAAAATCATAGCGTTATAAAATATTGATAAATTGCTTTCAACATCTTTCTTTATTTTCCATTCCATTTTTCTATATATAATTAACTTCCTTAATGCTTTTTTAAACTTCTACTGCAATCCAAACTAACAAATTATCATTTACATTTTTTTATTTTTTTTATTTTTTTGTCCTTTTCCAAGCTATACTGTTCTTTAACTCTTTATTTTCATTTTATCATTTAATTAATGTGAATATAATATTCATGAACACAATTTGTAATTGATCTAAAAATATTAAACAATTTTTTTTTAAATTACTATTCACATTATTTACAATATAAACATAATATATGATTCACATATACATAAACATGATATACAAATTCGAAATGGAAGTATTATGAGTGGATCGAATAAATTTCATTAGCAGAATATGTGAGTGCCAGTGAGCAATTATAACTGATGATGGATGGTCATTGTATGACTGCTTAAGTTCAAGAATGAGCGTGAAAGATCAATAGGATTCGAGAAGAAATCTGTTTCAGATCCTTTTAATAATCTCTGTTGCTGAGACTTCATGGCTAAACTTCCAGAGAGGAAGATGTTGGACGTTCAAAATGATATTGAGTTGCATTGGGAATGAATAAAGAGGTAAAATTTTTAGTTGTTCAAAGCTCGTGAAAATCTGTTTCCTACCTTTTATTTATGAAGTTACTCACCAAACGAACACATAAACCAGAATGTAAAGTTTTAATTCAAATCAAATCATAATATTTAAATAACCAATATGACTGACTGAGTTTATCAGTCTGATAATTAAATAAAAAATAAGAAATTTAACAAATAAATCGTTAAATAACTAAACGAATTATTTTTTAAATAATTTGTTTTTCCAATTTACTTTAATTTTGTTTTTGAAATGATTATTTTAACAATTTTTTTTATTTATAATTTTGACAAGTTGATCTAAATACATCGTAGTGTGGCAAAAGACCTCATTGAACTAAATTTGAGCCATTTAGAGGGGCTTACTTACAGTACAGTACTATACAGATATTAATATTCAATAAAATCATATAAAACAATTTTGTAGATTCGAAACTTTAATTTTTTTTTATTATAAACAAAATATTGATCTGAGTTACTGATCTACTGTTTGCTCGGTTAAAAATTAATAATTTATTAAGGAGCGAAGAAAGGGGTTGTGCATGAATAAAAATTACTCGTTTTGTGATCTTTCATTAATCTACCTAGTTAATCACACTTCAATACTTCAGTTGGTTTGTTCATTAAACTCTAATAAAATTATTTTACAAATAAATTAGTAATATTTTCCTTTTCTTTATTTTTTAAAATTATTAATTTAAAAATAACAGAAACGTAGATGCAACTTATGCTAAAATAATTAACATCCAAATGTCAAAAGTTTCATTCACTCCTGCTATGAGGGTAATCAATATTATAAATTTTCAGAATTCATGAATTTAAATGTTACTTCAGAAATAATTATATTTAAATTTTTGTAAAATAATATATGCTAAAATGAATAGGGATATTTCTATTTGATGCTTATTTTATTCGTTTTGATTAAAATAGCCTAGATTCTCTTATTTGTCAGAAAACAAAAAGTAAACAACAAGCATTCTTTATTTTTAATAAATTATTAACTATTATAATAATTTAAGAACGTGAAGAATAATGAATTTGTAAACCAGCAGTTGTTTTAGATTTTTCTCAACTTTAATCTAGTAACATTCTGTTTAATGACTGGGAAAGATAACATATTAAATCAGAAGTTTGCAATATTATCATGAGAATGAGTGGTCGAAGGCACCGGCAAATGGATGTCGCCGATGCAGTTGGTGTCTCTAAGATTGTGGTCTCCCGGGCTTTATCCAGATTCATACAAATCAAAAGTACTAATAGGTGACCTGTTAGTGAATCTCAACACATTATGACATCTACTACACATTTTTTTTTTTTTGTAACTTTATATATTGAAATTGTTATAATTAGTGGTTTCACTTTAAAATAAAAGTCATTCCTCAGTAGAAATTTATTTCTCTCCTTATGGTTAAAATGTGGCTACAGCTACAACTTGCGAAACCTTAAATTTATAATAAGGTCGTGGTTTACTGCTTATTTTTTAAAGTTCAATTATAGGTTTTGTTAAAATCATAATGGTAATATTGTCCTATTGTAATAATTTTAGTTTCACCAATTCCAATCAGTATACAATTTAAATAATATCCTAATGTTTATTGGTATGAAAGTAGAAGGTTATTCATCTATAAATATGTACATGAATTAAAATTACAAATACGAAGTTATATTGATGATATTAGGTAATGGTCAGTTCTTCTTTATTATTTTTAAACACTAGTTGATTTTTTTTTTCTACTGAACCTACTATATAAATATACATATTGCTATACAAGTTTTCTTAATAGGAAAGATATTTCTAAATATCATGTAAGGGGCACAACCCAAAAGTCTTAGAAAATTAACGTAACAAAACATTTTTTTCTAAAGAAATAAAATGATTTATTAGAATCCCATTTAATCTAGTAATAATTTAAATCAAATGAACCCATACTTTTTTCAATTGCTTCTCATTCTAAAACTTTATTTTTTTTTATACCATCAACAATGAGGCAATGAATTTGGCAATTAAAGGCAGTTAATTAGCAACATGCCAAATGGAGTTATTTGATTAAAATTCATAAACTACTATTGAACAATAAAAAACTCATAACTTTATTATTTCTAGGAAAGACATCATTGAAAATGTAAGACACATACCAGAAATAGCAGTAGCGAAGTTGCAAGAGATCACAAAACTTCAAGAAGGTGCTTTCCATGTCCTAAATCATGGTGATTCTTGGGTAAACAACGTTATGTTCAAACATAATGAAGGAACTCCTGAAACAATAAAGTAATTACATAAATCAGATGATTAAAGTATATTTTTAGCAATGATAACTTCTATATTCTATGCATGCTATTAAAAAATAGTATTCAAGTCTTCATTTAGCTTACAAAGCTAAATAATAAAAAACAAAAGATATTTTAATGCCATAATTTCTGCATATTTTTTCTAGTAATTACTTTTTATAGTTGTCCATTACAAAAAAGATGCAATAGTAATCAAATAAATATAAGATTTAGCATAAATAAATATATTTGATATATACCTACATTTTTATTAAATAATAAATAAATAACTGTCAATATATAATCCTTGAATGTTACAAAGTAAATTATAAAATGCTATGAACAATTGTGCAATTTTCAAATAGGACTTTTTTATTTGAACAATTAACTTAAATATAATTAAAACTGCTATGGTGGATGCTATGGTTTGACCAGTTGAAACAGGGTTGCCACTGGTCAAATCCTATTTCATGCATTTAACTATTTAAAAAAAAAATACAAAATAAAGTGTGGTTCGCGCATCACACAACTTTCACTTTTTATCCTTCTTTTGGCAGAAATAGATATTTTCAGACAAAAGGAAGAAAATGTAAAATTTACAGATGGTACAAATGTTCTTTGCAATCCTCTAAAGATGTGTTTATACATTTCACAAACTATGGGACAAACAAATATATAAATGGTTATTTCACTAATCAAGTATTTTTGTTTTTAATATTTTCCATCTGATGCAGGTGTCAAGAGAAATAAACTAAATAGTTTGGTTTAACAATAATGTCTTTATTAATTAAGTTAGATAATTGTGTTTCCCATGGTTTGTGAAATTTCAACAAACATCTTAATGTATTATATTTATGCTTTGGTTGTCACTAACCATGTCCTTTCATGACTCTATATTTTAAATATTTAGACTGATAATGAAGGTCACTATATTTATTTATATTTCATCGCTGATATTTTTATTTGTTTAAGCAGTAGTATATCTACAAATTTTAATTTCTATATTCCTGTAATATACACAATTAAATATTAAATAATACCAACGCCTTTATGAATTAATGAATAATAATATCACGCATTTATGAAAATGGATCCCATATTATAATAAGCAGGTTACCTATGGAATCCTATTCTATGCTTTCGGCAAAATTCAGGTGGAGGGGGCTCTGGTGTGTTTCTTCATTCCTCTGTTAGGATCCATTATTTCTCCTTTAGTTAATCACTTAATTCTTTCATAATTTATATTTAACCATTTATTGTTGCAGATGATATGAAGTGGCTAATTGTTTCAAATAAAAAAATCATCAGAGGTACTTTAGAGAAAGAAATTTTTAAAATTCGCGATCTAAGTTCTGTTAGGGCACATTGAGCACGATAAAATCACGATATGAGGATAAATTTAAAACCGCTTAATTGTACACTGACATAGTGAGTTTAACCAAAATCGTTAAAATCGTTTTCGAGAAAATTGTAAAAATGATTACAATTAATAATTATAATAGTAATAATTAGTATAGAGGTACTTAAGCCAATTTAGACGAAATAATTACTGTAATATCCCAGCCAAACCTTAAATACGCAATTTCAATTTCATACGAATTTTCAATTTTGCGCTACACAGGCTCACACAACCATTTTGCGTGACTTTTATAATTATACTCAGAGGAGCTCCAAACGTGTATTCCGTTGTAAAATTCAGATTCCAAAATTTTCACGATCGTATTCTATATATTTCATATATATGTACCTTTTATAGTCGCTCATAAGAAAAGTGCACAAGCAACTTTAACTTCTGACATAATTATCGGGTGCCACAGAAAGTAAGAGAAATTAAAAAATATATGAATATCACAAATTCATTCTGTAACGTAACCGGTAATGAAAAAAAAAATCTAACTAAAACAAGTAAAAAGAAAACAAAACGTATACCTAAACTAAATGAATCAACGAAATACGGAGATAAGTCACGTCCTGTTATTGGGGTAGGGGTTTGACAAGGGTCAACATTCCAGAAATGAAACTGTCCCGAGAAATATGACCTTATGATTATTCTAATTTGCTAATTATTTTATTAAAACTTTTATACCATAATTGTAATCAAAATGACTATTATCATAATCATAGCAGTTTTTATGTCTGTGATGTAATAATGACAAGGGAACTTATGTTAATTTTTTTTTTTTTAGACTAGTGGACTTCCAGCTTTCTCATTTCAACTCATACGCATTCGATCTTCATTACGTGGTAAATACCTCGGTTTCCAGTGAGGTTTTGCATCATGTAGATCGACTGTATGAAGAATACCATTATCACTTGACTTCAGAACTGGCGAAACTAGGCCGAACAAATGGTCCTTCACTCTCAGAAGTCTTTTCTGAATTACAGCGGACTGAATTCTTTGGACTTTTTGCTGCAGTCGCAGTATCACCCGTCATATTGGCTAGACAAGAGTTAGCACCTCCTAAAGATAAATCAGCATATACTCTTGCAGAACTCGAACAAAGAAAAGAAGATCGTTACAGAACTGAAGAATATACCAGAAGAATTCAGGTTATTCTTAGATGTGCTCAGCATGGAGGATTATTTGAAAGATTGCACATGTAGATATTTTCCCATATCGTTATACAACATTAAGTACAAATCATCCTTTGTATATTTACCGTTATATATTAATTATTATTATGTTCCTCTTCTAATTTTTAATGTAAAATAATAACTTAATAAATTTATTGTAAGTTTTATTTGACAATTCTATACCTAAGTAATTAAAATAACTTTACAGTAAAAAAAAAAAAAAAAACATTAGCCAAGAAAAATAGAACTGGAGAAAGCTGGTTAGGGCAAACAAAGAAATAAAACCAAAACAAAAAAAAAAGTAATTGAAAGAGTTAATACGTTTCTAAACTCAGCGCTGATTGTTTGGTCCAGTTTAGAGCTGATGTCCATGCCAATGATGAGCTCAGCGCCGAGTGTAGAAACTTTCTCATTCTTTTGCCAATTGAGGTAGGAGTAGTTGAGATTAAAGATGGGCACGTGAATCGAGAAGAGAATCAAAGAATCGTAGTCTCAAGCAATTCACACGAAAGAATAACGATTCACTCGGAATCAGTCGATTCAATAGGTATTATTGAACATGAAAGTATATAAGAGAAAAAACAACTCTATACATTTATAAATCAACCAAACAGAGAAAAAATAAATAAATAAACAAAATTGATACGTTAAATTAAATATTTACATAATAATATGTAATTAAAGTAATAATAAAAAATATATAAAATAATTATATAAAAATTAAAGCATAAGAGAGAAAAGACAGTACACATATATAAATAAAACAAAGAAAGAGGAAAAATAAACATTATAAAGAAGTGCGGTAAGCTAGTGGATGAGTCGTTTCGGAAAGTTAACCAAACAACTCAGCGAACAATAAGTTGGAAGATTTCCTAAAACAAAGCCAGTGATTCGATCCAGTGGATTCTTAAGGAATCGGCCGATTCCCGATTCACCGGCTTTGTTCAAGAAAATCTTCCAGTTGTGTTTCATTGTTTGTTGGGTTTTTATGTTTACTTTCCGAATATACTCTTCCACGAGCGTATCGTATTCGAACAATTAGAGGTCAAATTAATTTTTAAAAACGTTTCCCGACCAGTTTAAAGTTGCTTCTTATTTATAAGATTCATAACTTTATATTTGTAAATATTTGAAACTTTTATTTCAAAAAATTAAAAAAAAAAAATGTTTTTGCCTAAATAACCAGAAGGTTTGATAATGTTTGTACTGTTTTTTTTTTTCAATAAAAAGTTCTTTTTTAATTTAAAGAAAAAAGCGAAATGAAAAGAATCAATCGAATAATCAATTCATTACAATGATTGAATCATTAAGAATCGATTCAGTTAAAAGAATCTAATTTCTCATCTCTAGTTGAGATCATTTGAAAGCTTGGTCATTATTATATTATTTGACCATTAAGTATTTCTGAATCCAGTAATTTGGGTTAAAAAATATATCAACTTTTTGCAGAAAAATTTATTTCAAATATTAGTATAGACGTCCTAGATAACAAACATGAGCTTCGATAGTAAGTTTCCTTAATTTCAATTTTTTTTTTTTAAAGCATAACTTAATTAATATACTCTTAATGCTTATTAATGAGGATGTTTTTCTTCTAATAGTTTAAATAATCAAACTTTATTTATTATATTGGAAAGATATGATGGCTATGAATATACTAAAGTTGAAAGTAAGCCATAAATATTTTAGGTCAACATGAGAAATATTTAAAAAACAAAATGATGATGTTTATGATAAAAATACTGATATGATCTATTGGTAGAAGAAACAATTAAAATAAATTATATCAGTTGACAAAAGTTTTTTTTAGTCACAATAATTTAAATACTTTATTTTTAATTTATTCAAATTTTTCACCTCTTAAGGCATATTCAGAGATAAATCTGATTTTACATATATTGTGAATTTTCATCTGAAAAAATATATACAAAATTCTTTCAGAGGATTAACTAGCAGACATTAGCCCATTTATAAAACGACAATAACATTAAAAAGAATATTAACCAGTCAACAATAAATAATTAAAAAATCTAAAACTTACTAGCTTATAGCAGTGCACCACTTGCACACTTAGACATAGTACACAACAAAATGAGACCAATCATTTAAGGAAGAAGAGGCGTTGCCAATATTAAAATATTTAAACACTACATAATTAAAAATTAGAATTAATTTTAGAGAATTGAATATAGAAAGTATTTTAGTTATTGAAACTAAAAAGGCCTTTTTGTACTGATACTTATTAAAGTCTCTTTCCCAAGATCATCTTTAAAAAATTATATTAAATTTACACAAATAATAGTAACATTCGTTACGTTGTCATACAAAATCGCTGTTACTGATTTAACGAAATGTTGGATAGATATGAAACCTTAACTCTCGATAAATACCTCGAAACTACTCATTTTGCAATTATCATCAATAATGTTAAGTAAAATAATGGTAACATTACGCATAATTTTTGTGGCATGGTATGTTTTGGAAGAATTCTCCAGTCAGCTATTTTATGCCTCAAGATTACACATGGACTGATAGCTGACACCTCAAACAGATTTTTAAAAACCAGTTTCCGTCATGATGTAGAGATGGTTGACCGTTGATATGATATGAGAAGGAATTAGTCGAGGGTGCGGTCAAAAAAATAAAAAAAAATTAAAATATATAAATAATTCTAATTTTTGCCGACGCCCCGACCCACCCCGCAGGCCTACAGTGGCTTAATAATACAGTGCGGTCATACGGAGAGAACGGCCATATTGGATCGGCGGGAAACTAATATTTGAATAGTCTGTCTTTGTTATTTCAATTTAAAAAGTAATTATTGCAACAAATTATTTACTAGAATGGTTTGGGAGATAGAATTGAAGTTGAAGAATCTGTATGAAGCATATGAATCACTTATATCTCGCGAAAATAAATAATAAAATCAAAGAACAATATTTGTTTTTTTTCTGTTTAATTTCTTTTAAAATATATTCCAATAAACTTAGGCATATTAAGATTTCCATTGTATTCATCTTACTCTCTCACTGACAAATTTCACAAACAAATTTATTTAATTATTAAAACATTAAACAAAAACTGAGTGAAAATTAACTTTCATTGGAAAACCAGTAACTCAATTCTAAATCAGCAATCATGAAACTATTTTTATTTTTCTTCTTAATATTCACCTTTAGAAAAAAAAAAACTTTAAATAAATGTAGATTATTTAATCTAAATTTAATAAATACAAATTATTTAATGCAAATTTAGTAATTATAAATTATTTAATGCAAATTTAATAAATATAAATTATTTAATGTAAATTTAATAAAAATAAATTATTTATGTAAATTTAATAAATATAATTTATTTATATTGCTTATGACTGAATACCACAACTAGTGTTGCCCAAATGCGAGACCATGAGGTGTCTTGGTCTTGTGCAAGTCTCGCAACAGTCTTCCAGTTACCTATCAGCTTCTTATTATAGATATACTACTGTAATTTGTCAGACATGGGAAATCTAAGCCCAAATGAAAAATTGAGAGTTAAATTCCAAAGGATATTGGTTACACTAATTCCTTACATATGGTAACTAAATTTTTCAAGTTTTACTATTACAACTATTTCAAGGTTGACTATTTTAACTTAATTTTTATTCATAAAAAGGATTTTTTTATCAATCTTGGTCTTGGTCTTACAAGTTAAGCAGGTCTTGATTTTGCAAAGTATATCACCAAGACTGATTTTGGACAACACTAACTATTATAAATCCACTATAATTAAAATTTTAAATAGTTCAAAATTTGATCCTCGATGTATAGATTCATTTCTGATCATTGATATAAAATATTTTTTATGAAATGGTTTACCTCTTACCATAATGTAGATATTTTATATTGCATCTCTTATTTTATTTATTTTTCATTACTTTTTTGGGAAATTAGAGATTGTTGGCTATAATATATTTTCAATTTTATCACACAGCATATACCAAGTAAAAATAACTAATAGTGAAACATAAAACTGTAAGGATAAAATACAATAAATTATCAATTGATTGAAGAACTATCCAATTTAACTTGAAAAAGAAAACATTTTTAATCAACAAAGGAATATAAAAAAAAAAGATGAAACAGAATATTAATTCACAAAGAAATTTAAATTTATAAATGCTGCACATATACATTTACATATTTACTGCTAAAAACAGACATATGAGGGAAATTCTTTTTACTTATTGAATTTATCCTAAGTCTAAATACAATAAACCTCTTAAGAATACTATATTTAATATTGTGACAATTAAATATGTGTTCTTCATCAACAGAACTCATTTTTCTCTATGAAAAATCCTCTTAAATCACCTCTAACTGAGTTGATTTGGCTCATATAGGTTTCGAAATTGACTTAATCCTTTAATTTGTTACTTTATTTTATTAATTTTCCTTTGTAATTTAGTGGTTATGAGAGAAAAAGATTGAAATTAAGTTTGAAACTTGATTATAGAAGATATTTTTATAGTATGGGGCTATTAGCTGATACAATTTGTATTTTGAAGTCAGTGGTTTCAAGTATAATATTGAAATTTGATTTTCATTTATAGTTATTGTTACTTTCAATATTAAAATATGAGTGTAGTTGATGATCCTTAAATCATAGTTTAATTGAGGATAGTTTATGATCCTTAAATGATAATCTTGACATTAAATGATACTCATATTTTAATGATGAAAGTAACAATAACTATAAAGGAAAACAAAATTTCAATTTTATACTGGAAACTAATAACTTCAAGATAAAAATTGTGTTAGCTAATAGCCTCAAACTATAGACACTCTCTTCATACAACCAAGTTTCAAACTTGATTTTCATCTTTTTCTTTCATTACCACTGAATTAAAAAGGAAAATTAATAAAATAAAATAAAAAATTAAAGTATACTCACAATTTTAAGTCTACGAAGAAGAAACCAAACTTGTCACTTTAACTTTGAACATTAATACATATAGCTATTGAATAAAAAATACCTATTAATAAACTAAATCTATTACTAAAACAACACAATTAAACTTTCAAACAAAATATCACTAATAAAATATGAGTCTGTGAAGATGAAACCTATCACTGAACATGAATAGGTTAACTATCACTTTAAACACTAAAACGTACAACTATTCAATAAAAACTACCTATTAGTAAACTAAATTTATTACTAAAACAACACAATTAAACTTTTAAATAAAATATCACTAATAAAATAAGTCTGTAAAGATGAAACCTATCACTGAACAAGAAACCAAAACAATCACTGAAAACACTAAAACGTATAACTATTCAATAAAAACTACCTATTAATAAACTAAACCTATCACTTAAACAACAAAATTAAGCTTCTGAACTAAAATACTGCTAATAAAATATGAAATTTTAAAAGTTTTGAGGTGCCTAAAGAGCAAGCAGATAGCAAGGGACGATCCAAGATGGCCAACCAATCAGAAATCGAATCCATATGACCGCACTGTATTATTAAGCCACTGTAGCAGGCCGCCCTCGGGGCGCTGGATGTGGCACTGCGGGAGGCGGTTGAAACACTGGTCGACCAGTGTTTCAACCGCCTCCCGTAGTGCCACATCCAGCGCCCTGAAGGCGGCCTGCGGGGTGGGTCGGGGCGTCGGCAAAAATTAGAATTATTTATATATTTTAATTTTTTTTTATTTTTTTGACCGCACCCTCGACTAATTCCTTCTCAGTTTCCGTCATATTAATTATTTAATTTTATTAATTTAATAGTTTATACCCTATGTCAAGAATGGTATAAACTTAATGGTAATGGTAACATTCGTTAGTACGTGTTTCTCCAAATTTTGGGAACAAACAATTGTCCTAATTTACAATTAAAGATATTTAACTCGAATAGAGGTGTTTGAGGTAACTAAAAAAGGTATATATAATTCGAAATACATTCATATAACAGTGAAATTACCCATGGTTAAAAATTAATCGATACAGATTGATTTATATTAAATCAAGAAAAACTTCGCATCCTCGTCTTGGAGACAGTAACATTCGTTACATTTTCCTACATTCACTTTGAGGTATTTCTTCTTTTGGTTGGAACAGATTTATATTAATGCCACCATTCCATTCCTTAGAAGCAATACAAAAAATAACACCATTACTTTTTTTTCAACCTAAAAAAATTAATGTAAAGCCATGGACATTAATGGTCAAATAATATAAGAATGACACAGCTTTGCATACACAAAGAGAGTTTGTAATTATTGACGATTAAAAAGCATGATTTTCATTTACCTAGGTAACCCATTATTTTCACTATAAGATAATCTGAGTACGACTTACCTTTCTCAAGAGGAGGATAATTAGGACTTTTTATGTTACGAAAAATTCAATCGCCTTCATTTTCTAATCAGATGACGCCTCGAGTTAAAATAATATTATTAAAAACCAGGGAAGGTATATGGCCATGCAGCACAAATTTTAGAGGATTAAATCCCCAGAAAAATAACACGAAGAGTGAGGCCATTCATAGTACCAGGCGTAGAGAAAGACCGAGTCTTGGATGGACAGATGAATGGCGTAGCAGAAGATGCCCGGACAATCCTAGGGATCAGAGATTGGAGTACTGCTGCCCAACGTGTAGACTGGCGAAAGCTATTGGAGGAGGCCAGGGATCAGTAATGGTTTGTCGAGCCAATGGAAGAAGAAGAAGAAGAAGGAATGTGAATTACAAATTATTAGTACTACTAAACATTACCAAATAAAATTAATACAAACTTTTCAGTTATAAATATTGTAAGAGGTTCCAAGGTCTACTTAGCACTCAATGAAAAGAAATATTTTATATTGATGGTTAAGATATCAATTACGTACATGCATAAAATATTATAAAACTTTAATTTAACTACAACTCAATTTAAAAAAAAAAAAATGGAAATTAACTACAGAATCAACTAAAACTATGCATTGCAGACTACCGATAATTCCTAAGATGAAAATAATTCAATTTTTTAAAAATTACTACGGAAATAAACTTACCATCATGAGATACGTCATATAGAAGCCAACCTATCGTTCTTAAATATTAAATTTACGAAATAACAATTATGAACGAACTATGAGGCAATTAGCAACCTATACACCCTCGTAAGAAGTTACCTCCGTGATAGTAAACATATTAGAATCAAAGATCACTTTCAATATTTCCAAGTTACTTCTTCCAATAGTCTTTCAAGAAAGTATGCATGTTGGAAGATAGATTTTGACGAGTTTTTAGTTTTGGTTGGTGTTAAGCGTTTCCAAACGACAGGACATGTTGATGACCAGGCTGATGTCATCTCATGATTAACAGAGCCTGACTGATAATCATAATACTGACTGAAGGAAGAAGTAAAGAGGTGCGCCAGCTTAGTGCAAAAAGAAAAATATGATAATGTATGCTGCCTAGACCCAAACCATTCTAATAAGAACATGACCGATAGAGCTCACATCCAAATGATTATACAAACATAAGTTCTACGAAGGTAGTCACCTATCTTGCCTTTAGAATTAGAAAGGAAACGAGCTTGCAGCTTTACTAGGACATTCTGTGAAGAACACTTTAGGGAAAAGCAGATATCCATAGATAACAGTAAAACCTTAGACCGTCATCAACAAATATTTTAGAAAAATTGTTTCATAAGAATATTCGGAGATAAGAATTCCGAATATTCTTATACGAGATAAGAATACTCGGAAATTTTCTCAGCAAGAATAGGCTGTTAAAAAAATTATATAATAATGAACAGTGTGTGGTACAATTCCGCCTAGATACATGTCAATTTTTAGCCTTTCGTTTTGAATTATTTTGATTATCATTAAGATCATACTATTTAAAATAGCTATAACAAGAAATTAATAAAATATAAGTAGAGTCGTTGGTTCTTATTTAGGAACAGAACTAAATGTTCTCAAATACATTGGTTTCAGCTAATGAGTGTATATGGCAAATAGGGATTCTAACAGACTACAAGAATCCACTTTTTCGTGAGATTTTGCCGGATTGACAGATGTTTGCCTCTTAGTCAGTTTTCTCTGCTACACAGAACCTCATTGGGATATATTTTTAAAATCATAACCTTCTGTTATATACAATAATAACCTCCTGATTAGTAAACAAATAGGATTCGTTGTTTAACTACAAATATCTTAATATTCAATTATATAAAATGACTCTTTTCCAACAAGATATGGTAGAATCATTTCTTCCATCGGAAATAGCAAGACTTGTTTATGGTACTAAAGTTTCTATTTCTTTTATTTGAGTGTGAATTTTCTAGCTTAAGTGAATGTTTTATCATCTCTTTTTGGTATCAGGATATTTGGAAGAAGAAGAATGCATAGATGCTGCACAATTGTTTTTGGAAACATCCACCCATTTAAAGGAATGTTTAATTGTCGCAAGAAAGGGTAGAAAGTTCAGTACTAAAATGTATGGTTTAACACTGGTTGATTTATTTGATTTACTATCTGAAACAATCTCATTTGGTAAGATTGCATTCACCACTTTGGAATAAAATTGCTAATTTTGGGTAATGTTGTCTTCTTATTCTTTCACAGTTAAGGAGAATAGTAAGGTTTGGAAAGAAACAACTAATATGAGCAGTCGCCTTTTCAACTTACTTCAAGCAGATGGTAGTAATTCTGATCTGTTGCCAAAGGATAATTTAGAAAAGAATGATGAAACTGTATTAGTGAAAGATGATGTAAGTGTTGGGACTCCTAAATACCATAAACAATATTTATCCAATTTAAAATTCTAATAAATTAGTTTCCTGGAAAAACTTCCTTCCATGTTCATGATTTTTTATAGTCAAAATTTTATTTGGAAATGGGAGTATTGAAACCGGGGTCAAACCGATTCTCGGACTATCTATCGATTCTCAAAAGTCTATAGATCAAATGTACTTAATCTGTTACTTTAAATTTCTGTAATGAAAATTACTTTGTAAACATTTTTCTACAAACCTTCTATCTATCTACACTGACAGGTAAAAAATGCCCACTTGATTTTTTCATGTTTTCATCTAAAAATATTTCTGCCACTTGTAAAAAAAGTTGTATTTGTAGATAATACTTAGTATTTATGGAATTTTATAATATTTTTTACGTTTAATAATCAAAATGTGAATGGGTAAGAAAGATTAGAGAAAAAAAATTGAAAAACGAACCATTATTATTCTAAAAGAAATTAATCACATCATCGTTTTGTAGCGCACGTTTCCTCCTCTTGCCTTCAATACTTCTTGAAGACACCTCGGCATACTTTCCACCAGTCGGGAAATCTCCCTTTGCTGGAGGATAGCCTATTCCTCCCGAAGAGGCCTTTCAAGGTCCTGCAGTGTATCAGGAAGTGTTGCACACGCTCTTATTAGTCTTCTGAGGTTATCCCATACATGCTTAATGAGATTCAAATCTGGAGAATGTGCTGGCCAGGCTAAAACCTCAATATTGTTCTGTTGAAGGAACGTCTGCACTATGCGGGCGACATGTGGGCGTGCATTATCGTACATTACAATCGAACGATCGCCGATTTCATTGAGGATACGCAACACATGAGGTTCCAAAACAACATCCAATTCTGTGTGGTGCTCCATTGAAATCCCAGCCCACACCATTAAGGAACCACGTTGGAAAGGTTGGCTGTGGGTAAAATTACAGGCTGCATATCTTTCGTTTCTTCTTTTCCACACCATTTCACGCCCGTCTGGAGATCGAAGAGCGAATCTTGACTTATCTGTAAAAAGTACAGCACTCCATTTGTCCATAGTTCAATGGCTGTGTTCTCGAGCAAAAGCCAGCCGTGTTACTCTGTGAGTTCTGGTCAACTCTGGTCCTCTTACTGGATGAAAAGCCATTAATCCATACTCATTTAATCTTCTCCGAGCAGTACGTTCAGACATTTGCACACCTCGAACTACTTCGACCTGATGAATCGCTTGAACAACGGTAAGGTGCCGGTTTTGTAAAATTCAAGTCAAAAACCGGTTATCCCGTGGTTCTGTTACCCTCGGCCGTCCAGAACCGGGCCTTCTATTGTAAAAACCACTTTCCCGAAAACGCCTGACGGTGTCTCGTAAAGTTTCATATGGAACTCCGATGGCATTAGCTGCATATCTAATGGAACGTCCATCATCAATAAGTGCCACACCACTCGCAACATCCTTAGCACTAAGAGGCATTTTTAAACTTAATATTGAAAAATTAAAAGCCGGAGACTAAGAACGGCGCTGAACTAATGATACTGAATAAACATTTTGATTCCATAGAAAGTAAGCATTGGAATCTAGAATCATTTCATTGAATTAAGGATTAAGGGTTATTGTCCTCTATATTAACATTCCTAATTGAAAACAAACAAAAAGATTACCTATTTATTCATTAAAAACAATAGACCAATCCAAAGCAGAAATATTTTTAGATGAAAACATGAAAAAATCAATTGGGTGGAATTTTTTGCCTGTCAGTGTATTTTCACATATCCATCCAAAAACTTGATTTAGGTATTGTTTCTTAGATTGAAAGAAACACAGATATATCTGGTAATTGCAGACTACATATAACTTTAGAATGAATTGCAATTATATGCTCTTTAACAGAAAGAATTATGGGCTTTGTGATATCCATTTGATTCCGAAAAGAAATGAAAATTTGGCTCTATTTTAATGATTTTTGCAGTTTTCAACCACCCTCCTTTTGAACGACTAGTACACAAATTTTCACTGAATAAAATTTTCATTAGCAATGGATCTCATGCATAATGAAAGATAAACATCAAAGTATATTAAAAAAAGGCAAGTATTAAAGAACCGATCGCTGTTCCGTGATGTGCTTCATTAACACTTTTTGTATTCTTACAATTCTTCTTAAAGGTACTGTAAAAAAATTGCTTCTTTGAAATTCTGTTTGGGATGGCAATGAGTATCAATATTGCTTTCTTCCTTTAAATATTCTTCGTTACTGTAGAAGCAGAATTTTTATTTTATATATTGTACTAGTGAAATAGGAAACAGCCGGATTGCTCTTTGAAAATTCTATCAGCATACCAGACTTCCCAAACCTATGAAAGTTTTTATCTTTTGCAGCTTTTAAAAACTCCTCTGCACTTCAACAGATCTAGTCTTCCTTTCAGAAATCTTTCCTTTTTCCGCAGTGTTTTAAGTTTTGCAAGATGATTTCTTATTCAATATTGGAATGCTTTTTACGGATACTATAAACCTTATTGGGACTACATTTAGATGTGTCTATGTACTATATATATATGTCTATGTATACCTAATATTATAAATAAGTATTAAGGCTTAAATACGTATTCTATATTATGGATTAAGCGGGCGCCCAGTTTAATGCTAGTCTTGCTTACGTCCTCATCAGGACCAATTCTAAGGCCCTGGTGTGACTGAGGTTGTTTTTACCCTCATCTGGGCCATCATTGTTCTCTATGAGGACTGGCATCAACCACATCAACAACTGCTTTTAGTTGAAAAGGATATTAGGGCAGGTGGAGGTGATATAATTTTGTTTTCGTCATTAACATTATAAGGTGAGTGGACACCTCTCAAAGGACATTTTAGACCCCACGGGTCCCCAGTTTTATTGGTGAAAAACAATACATTATTTTTGTAGTTAAATACCTCACATTGAGGCTGAACTCTTATTTCTACAGTACTTCATGACAACTTTATTAAGCACTGCCATAGTATAGGCTAATAGTGTAGACTAATTAATAGTGAAAGTTTCCAGTTCAATACCTGTTCCACCATAACCCTTTTTATATTTTCACTATTATAAAATATAATTTAAATTTATATACATATATATATATAAATATTTATGTAATGCATTTTAATAGTTCTAAATTAATTCAACATTTAAATTAAATTAATTTGTATTATATAATTGCAATAGAAAAAAACACACAAAACATTTTAAATCTAATTCCAATGTTTTTTTCTTTTTTATTTTGTTGTTAAATGTTCTTTAGGATAATTTTGTTTCTTTTTTTATTCTTTTATATTAGAAGAAATATTTTTAATTTATTAATTTGTTATCATGTATTATATCATTTATTATTTCAATACAATTGTAATTACTGCTGTTCGGTATTTAGTTTTTCCTTTTATAATATTTTTTTTATTACTAAAATTTGCAAGGCACCAGTGCCTATGGATTAGGTTGTGCAGGATTGGTATTTAATATTTAGAATACCCACTGCCGCCATAACGTCCATTTTGGGTTACACTTATTGGATTTGTTAATACTAAAAAGAGATAAATGATGAAATAAGCAATGATATGCTTCAGGATGTGAAGGGTTTCATGCTTCAAAAGAGCCTCTTAAAAGCTTAATATTTTTAAATTACCATCAATGGGTGCTGAAAACTGGGGGGATGCTGACAACTGTTGGCTTTACTCTAATTAACTATTATTATAATTTTTTTTTTAAGTTTAAATTTATATTTTTTTATGCAGGAAAGTATCGACTTGGAAAATCAGAATGGCTATACACAGTTGCAAAATAGTAATGCTAAAAATATGGGCTGTAAAAATGATTTACCACCAAAGCTGTTTCCTCAAAATGGTTGTAATTTATTAGATGTGCTTGTATCTATATTATTGATGTAAGAATTCTAATTGTACTAATATGTTTTCTATTTTCAGGAAATAAGGAAACACCTCCTTTTTTGTAAGTACTTATGTTTATAATCTTACAATAACATATCACTGGTGTATGTTCATAAGGCCTTACATTATAAAATGTGATATTTACACTATACGATCCATTGAACTCTTAAGGAAAAATCATTATAAATCCTACCCAATTATCTCTTCCTTCTTGAACCACATTATTGTCTTAACAATTAAAATCTATATTACAATATCCCTTAAGTAGGTCCTGAAAATTCCAGTAGAAAATCTATAGAAAATCAAATCTATTTGAGATTTATCAAATGTGTTTTAGTTGTTAGAATCAGATTTTCCTCAGAGATTCTGTTAAAAGACACAGTTGATTTCACAATTATAGAGTTAATTACAGTTAAAAAAGCATTTATGAGTTTTTCTTTATTCAAGATTCCGACGGTTCCTTCGACAAACGTATTTTGAATGTTTTAGTCCCCTTGATTCCTTTGTCGATTCCATTTCAGGGGCAATTAATGGTTTATAGAGATTAATATTCGTTATAAAATTGTCTTTAAAAAGTTGCCTATTTCGCATCATTCAATATTGATAAATTATTGTTAGTTTATTAAATTCTATTAATTTAAGTAAAATAGTCACATTAAACATTATTTTTCAATTAAATGTAACAAAAATGCCCATATTACCATAATTTGTTTGTTGTTTTTCAGTGATTTTAACATAATCAAGTCTTAGAATCATGATAAGAAGGCTTGATTATTTTCTAGTTGTCGGCCAGGTAGTAAGATAGAAATTCATTTCAACATCTCACCTAAATTTATTTTTCTATAAATTTAAAATTTAATTTTTATGAATTTCTCCTTTTTAAGTGGAATAGGGCATAATTGAGTGTATTGATATCTGAAGAACATTTCTAAGCTCAAGATCATGATGGTCTGAAAAAATACATATATAGAAGTTGCAGTAGTTGACTAGTTTTAGATTTCATGGCATATTTTGAAATCTTTCCACTTATATATTCATTATTGATTTTATGTCTTTCGTTTCAGATATTCTAGCCAGTCTAGTCAGATAAACGAAAAAGATAGATTTTCACCACATTTTATAAAAATCAAAGAAGAAAATGACATGGAAGGTAATAAACATTTCTAAGTTGTTTTGTTACCAATTCAGTATTATTCTTAATTTAATTAAATAAAATAAGCATACTTCAGTTGCTTAATTAAATTGTCTAATTTAGTTAAACTATTAAAGTTATGTTTAATTTGATTAAACTATTGAAATTGAGTTTAATTTAGTTAAACTATTAAAATTAAGTTTAATTTAACTTAAACTATTAAAATTAAGTTTAATTTAATTGGTTTTAATTGTTTTATTCAACTTATGCAATCACAATATTAATAATTGGCTTTAGTTCTTGTATGTGATCCTTGGTTATAGTATCAGATTTAAGATTCAGTTTTGGAAACTAAACTTTTTTGTACTATTAATTGACATTGCTTCTATTTGGTAGCATAAATATATATAATTATATTTCTTAATAGTATGCAATATGTATATACGCGTCACAGAAGTATTCCATTAATACATCCCACATAGCCCGGAATCCAGAGGTTAAAAAGGGTGCTCATCACAGGAGAAGGTTTGAATGTAAATTACAAAAGTGTATGTTATTCTAATTAAAATGAATCTTGTCTGCCATTCTGCTTTAAAAAATGGTGGCTGATTTATAAAATATTAGGCCAGTAGTAACCTGAGGATAAAAACAGGAAGTATATTACAAAAAAAAAAGTAGGAAAAGATTTTATTTTTTCAACTTGTATATATTGGTTCAAACATGTAAAAAACAAAATTAGCCAAAAAAGACAGATTTTTTAAATCAATTTTTGTTTTTTCCGCAGTAACTCCTGAATGGTGTACCGAAGTGAAAAACTTCATTTTAATTAATTTAATTAAATTAAAGAATTTAAAATTTTGTGTCCGATGAGTCTTTAAAGTTTAAAATTTAATTAAGTTGTTTGGTTGAAAACCAAGATCCTCCCCTACTGTTCATAATTTTGGACAAGATGGTCACAGGCAACTATTCCACCGTCAGCAGCACAAAGGAGATAGTGAGAGAAGAAGAAGTGTCCGATGAGTACTTAAAGCTTAAAATTTAAATAAGTTGTTAGATTAAAAACCAAGTCAATGAATGCTGATGAAAAATGTATACAACTTACTACAAATGGTTCTGTAGCTTGGAAATGAGTTGTATAATAGAAGATGCTCATAGAATTAAAGTTTTAGAGCATCAAATTCTGTGTTCACTGAGTACCTTTTATTTTTAATGTAAGTCAATTTCACCTCTCAAGGCCTCAGTCATGTCAAGTTTTTTAGCTAACGTAGGTGGTATGGTTCTTGGTAGAGATGTGACAAATAGTTAACTCAGAAAATGGGTAATTGAAATGAGTACAACTCATGAAGAGCTTTGTGGGATTCACATCAAGTGAGCAGTTCAGAGATTTTGGTCAAGCTCGCCAAACTAAATGTTCTTGTTGCTGAACTAGTTAGGTGGTTTAGGAAATATTCTTCCTTTTACGGTATGAGGAACATCATATTTATTACAACATGGGTGATTGTTAATGATACAATCACACATGGCTGCAATGATATTATAGTTGATTAACAAATAGTAGCTAAACTGGTAAATTTTCCATTTTCAGATAGCAAACTGTCTCAGAATGTAATCACGTCATTTAAGATCAAAGATGAAAAAGTATGAGTGGATCTTTTTTAAATCAATGAAGCAAAAAAAAAAAAAACACAGATAAAGATTTGAAAACTCATTTGGAATATAAATTTACTCCTTTTTTATTAATTTTTATTCAATCTGGGTGGGATGAAGAAATCCAAATAGTTAGTTCTCTACAAATTGCTCAATCTAATAACTAAAGTTGTACATATGAAATATTTGATGCAGGCAAATGAAGTCTCCTTCATAAAGTTATTAGGAAAAAGAGATTCCATGATATCTACCATTTTAGTTGGGTTGAATAATTTTGTGAACAGTCAATTTCATAGAGAAAGTTGCACTGTAGAGTTTGCCAAATAGCAGCCAAATATCAAGCACAAGATAGCTGAGCATCAAAGGCGTCACCGTCTCGGCAAGTTAGCTTACATACATTTCAAAACAATTTCAGCTGGAAAAAAGTTTATTTTGAGGTGGTGCAGAGTAACTGCCCAATTAAGGCAGACATTTATTATTATTCATTTTTATGTCTGAATAGTCATCACTAATATTATACTCCAAACAAAAAACACATAACTGAGCCATTTCACTTTATGAGCTTGTTCCGATTTTCGTTCCTTTTTCAACTTTTTTGGAATCATTATTTCATTGATATTCCTTCAATTATACATGTTGATTTTCTATTTCATTCTAATGTGCTTTGCATATTCATGATTATGGTTTACAGGAAAATGGGTAAGGTTCAGTCTTTGAATAGAGTAAAAGAACAAAACACAATATTTGTTTTATCTTTGAAGTGGGTCTTTGTATATAATTATAGCATCTTTTAATTATCATATTTTCATAATACTAGTTATAAAATTATTGCAATACATATAATCACTTCAATTAGTAGGCATATACTAATTTATAGAACATGACTTACAATGACACACAGGCTATCTCGTTAAGTTTTTTTTGTAGACTCATAAAAAAAAATATTATATAAAATATTTAATTATTTTGGATCTATTATGAATAGAATGTAGCTTCGAGCTAGAAGATAATCATGAAGAGGAAGATGCTATGCCAACTATTGAACCTGAAGTACAGATCATTTCACCTGATGGAAACCTGAGACAAGAACCTCCACCAACAGTCAACGTCATCACAAATCCTATTATGGTCGGGAGGCCCCCACAACTCTTGTGCCAGCCTTATGGCATGGTTCACATGGTTCCTGCCTATCCAGCCAGTGCTCATCCAAGCCTATCCACAGCATTGTTCATGCCACAGCAAAGTATTTCAACACCACAACACCCCATCACAGTTCATCACTCGCAGTCAATTAGTAAGTCAAATTTTTCTTACCTGTTTGTTTGGTTCTTACATATCACAAATATTGATTTAGATATTTAAATTTACTGCAAGCATCATATATAAATAGTACAATTAATGAGAGGACAATTCAAATAAGAGATGATAATTAACTAGAGTTTCCTGAGACTGAAAAAAACAGTTTCACCACTCAATCATTTTTAATTTTCACTGTCAGTATTAGTTGATTCTAAAATAAGCCAAATAATATTAATGTATAATGCAGTACAATAAAAAATTGCAAAATTAGTTATCTCATGAAATATTGTCTAATGAAATTACAAAAAAGCGCAAGGATTATAATCAACTGATTTTTTGAAGATCTAAACGGAAAAACAAACTTTTATAACTAAAACATGTTGCTAGTTATTATTATAACATTGTTGTTTAATAAGTTAAGCAAATTGTTATGTAAGATTTGTTCACAATAATATAGTTTAACAATGTTATTGCTATACTGATTATGCCAGAATGTAGAATGCTAAAACGTTGAATGGTTAATTAGCAACACATTTAAGAAAATTGAAGTTGGAAAAAAATTAGTTACTTTAACACATACATTAAATTATGACATATATTTTATTGTTATTATACTATATTATGATAAATATATTTTTTATATTTATTATGATTCTTCGAACTTCAACATCATTAGTATATGTATTTGTATTTATGTATGTGCATATATATTTTCCTTATTATTTTCGATTACAGTCCAAACTACTGGATCTGCTGTTAGCTCACCTAGTAACACTCTATCTACTGCTTCTATGTGGCCTAAACCAAAAGTCTCTAATTCTCAAAGCCATCAAGGTATTTATTTTATAGAAAAGTGATTTCTCTTGTGATAGTAAATTTTTACCATAAAAATATAAATGATCACATCTATTGAGCTAAATATTTATCAAACAGTTGATAATTATGGGATATAGATTAAGACTAAAGTGGTTTCACTTTCACTTTTAGTGATTTAATTCTTTAAAACTTGGACACTTTACACATGTACTTTATTATTTTTCTTATTACCATGTAATTTTTTTTTTCACTTGCTAAATGTTGTCAGCACCATGTTAAAGTAAAGTAACAAATGTGCAATGTTGAGAAAATTCACATTTGTTACTTTAACATAGTGCCAACGATATGTAATACACAGTATGGGAAAGTATTTCCATTGTGAACAATTTTAATTCTAGCTTTTCAATAGAAATACCCATTTTAAGATCACCTTAGTCCAAATAGCCAAGGCTCACAAAATAGTCTCTGTCAAGCTCCCCCACTTCTTGTGTGTATGTGAACAGTAGCTAAAAAATGAAATGTGGTATGAAACTGAAAGCTTATATTTAATGTAGGTAAATACCTGGGATGTCACATTAACTTTTTTCTATGAAATTAACTTACCAGTAGTGCCACTTTACATTATCTATATTACATTTTTTTACAATTATCTCAAAAATGAATCTCATAATTTTCATTGAACTCATCAGTTCAATATATAATTGAATGGTATTTAATATCTACTTGCTCTTATTCTCATTGATATAATTTGTCAGGGCTTAAATGTCAACTTTTCAAAATGTTTTTCTTTAAAGTATCTTTAATTTGATTTATTTCAAATAATAAGAATAATAAATGGCTCAATACAAACTATGAAAGAATTTGATGCTTGACTAAAAGAGAATTCCAAACTCTTTGATAAGAGAAGTAGAGCTAATCACCCTGCAAGTTAATGAAGAAAAAACAAAATGAATGATAATAAGCCAAAAATTCTACTCTAACAACAGGATCTGCATAGAAGGGAAGAAATTGTTCTCAAGAATAGGCAAATTCAATACATTGGCTTTGAACTTGATAACTATAGCAGAAATAGACCAGAATATAGCAAACACAAACAGAGCTTCCTTTTCTCTTTTAAAAGCATTAAAATTCCAAAAAAAATTCTAGAAATCTCAAATTAAGAATATACCATGCAGTGAGACCTGAACCCTAACCATCATTTTACAAATAAGTATTGAAAGATTTGGTAAAGAGAAAAATCCTCCGCATGATAACCAGAGAATTCTGAAGTTAAATAACTTTAGATCCGATAATAGATTTAAGTAATTAGGTATATATTGTCAGTTTAATCCAAAAATCATTTAGTCAAATTTTAAGAAATTGAATCAGTGAATAATTTGATGAATTTTCTCTCTGGAAAATCACATTATGCTCTCAAGCTGACTTTTAATCTATGAATGGCAGATCAAAAAAATCTTGTTAACACCATTTTGGTAAATTTTACAAGAGAAAAAATAAGAGTTTAAAAACAGGTATGAAGGAATATTGATTAGAGATATTATTGTTCTTTCAAATCACTCTTTATATATAGACCATAGAGAATGAAGTTCATTTAGATTGATGGAGTTACGAGGTTTTCATCACCTACCATCAATGTAATAAATATGGCATTTGTAATTTTAATGTTCTTAATGGGTTTTTGCATTGATAAATAAAACCAAAATTCATAAAATGTGTTCCTTAAGGTTTAGCCCCATTAAAAATTCACTTCAAAGACTTTTCACAATTACCCATTTTGTCAGAAAATTTCTACTCAAAGTAGGGTGGTAAGTGAATGTTGTGTAATGGGCAAACCAGATTTTTTTTTTAACTGTACCATTACAATCCGTCTTGGGTTCAGTACTATACAGGGAAGATATTGTTTCTTGTTCAGCGGTTGTGAAAGGAGGTAATTTGACCGAGATCACACTCAACCGCCAGTTTGTCTCCCTTAATCAATTATATGATTAAGAGTAATGACTTTATAGAGGCTGGGTGACTTGGCAATAAGCAGATATGTTGTTATTGTTAAGAAAAATAGTATTTTAGGCATGAGGAAGAATAGTATCCAGCAGCATTCCTGCTCTTGGTTTACTTCTAATTCTACTTATATTTATTATAATTATTTTAAAATTTAATTATAATTTTTTTATTTAACTTGTCCTATAATATTGTAAATTTATATTTTTTTATTTAATTTATGATTTCACCAACCTATCTTATTTAAGTAATCTTTCTACCTCCATCCTATGTTTGTATTCACTTTTTATTGTTCTTATGAAAGCTTCACCTATGAAGAAGGCATACATGAGAGTAGATATCGCAAGCACTCAAATAGGAACGAAGGATCACAAAATATCAAAAATGAAACAGAGTCTCTACCAGTCTAGTTCAAAACTAAGACCAATTGCTCCAAAAATTACACAATCTCTGGATAATGGAGTGAAAGTGCAAGTAGTTCATACCAAGGAAAACCCACTGATAGAGGCAGGTTCAGGTATCTCAAAGCGTTGTCTCCGTTCTAGAAGAAAATCGGTTCAAAAATGTGACCAAGCTGCTGCTCCATTGTTCATAGATATCAATGATTTATAATAGAACCTCGAATTTATAGAGATATTTTTGAATCAATTTTATTGTAATAATATTTTTTTGTAAATATAATAGTTAAGTGATGTGTAGAAAATTATGAATGAACCTTTGTTACCTCAGTATCCTATTAGTTTTTAATTATTATGTATTTGTACATTACTAAGAAATTTGTATTCAAATGTTTAAGTTTCCCATTTTTTTTAAACTTCATCAACCAAAAACATAATAATAATTTTTCATACACAGTAAAACTGATATAAGGAGTAAAACTTATATGGATAGATGTCTATTATAATAAAATAATAAAAATTAAAATATGTAACTTGTACATAAAAAATAAATAAGTTCTAATTACTTATATGTCTAACTTTTATCAGAAGATCTGGAGTATTTGACCTATGAAAGGCCTGAAGTTTTAAGAAATTGGTTTTGTTTTTAAATATATATATATTAGAAATATGGCGCCTAGTTACAAAATCGGTTCATCCATTTTTTTTCACAAAATGTTTTTATTTTATTCTTCACAAGTTCTCGATATATTACACCACCCAGCAGAGTGTTATTCACAAAAAATATCTCAATGCAGTATAAAAACGGTATCAATCTATAAAGTTTTTGAAAATGAATTGAACCAATTTTGAAAGTAATCAATTCAAGTAATTTTATTTATTGTATGAATATGTACTGTATATTTTGATGCATATATTTAGATCCGCATTGTTAATGTTGGTTACTTATGTTAGTAAAGCAGATTATTATTTGTGTCATGTATGTAATTGTTTCACTCTTGCATTAATATTTATATAAATCATATTTCATGTATTTATATAGAACCTTACTTATTACAGAGAATTGACCATTATTCTGATATTGAGTAAAGATTATTATATTAGAGAAATTATTATCAGGTTGTTTATTATATGACATATGTCAACATTATTGTGTCAAGTATTAAAAGGCTGCTGTTTAGTCTTGTAAGTTCCTTTTAAATGTATTTACTTTTGTTTTATGATAAATAATTCTGGTCACTTTTTGTGTCATAACGTGCTATAAAGTAAGAAGATATTTGTTGTTTTTGTAAATATTTGTAAATAAATATATTATAATGGAATACAAAATATTTGCCACTGTACTTATGGAATTCAAAAATAAGTTACATAAGTTATGTTTGTCCTGACTGACTCTACTACTGTAAAAGTGTTTCCAGACTACTTTTGATAGCCTGATTTTTCAATAAATATTTGTCTGACAAATCAAGAACCGCCTTTTCTAACTTCATCATTAATATGAATTAACAGATTATCTTTTTAACACTGGCCTACAAAGTAACCAATTTATTTTAATAAAATTTCAATAACAACATATAGAGACTATGTTCAAATCTGAGTCATAAAAAATATTACCTCGAATATATTAAAGAATGATACATCCAAAAAAAGCTATTCCTTGGCTTATTCAGTTATCAATCTTAATTATTTTAAATATGTTAATTTTATTATATTCTGTTCAAAAGGCATCTATACTATCCCTATACCATGATACATTTACATGTCTTAACACATGTATTCAAATTTATAATAGGAGCAGTGCCGTAGCTAAGAATGACTGTGTCTCAACCTAAGCGTTTTTCAAAGTACTCCCCTTTTCATGCAGAAAAAAAAACTAACTTTATCCTTACCATCTTGCCACTTTTTCACCTCCTAATATTTTTCAAACATATCATTTTTACACTTACTATAAATAAAATAATAATTTTGTTTTTTACATATATTTTTTCATCTGGAATGTTTTCCAATATGTTTGATTATGCATTGGGCCCAAATGCATAAAATGTTAGGCATTGAAAATATTTACACCACTGAAAATGGGATAGAAGGAAAGTGTGTTGTGCGTAGGAGGACCTGGTGGAGATAACTAAGGTTTGAAGGCCCAAACCTCTTAACAGTCCCATGTATAATGTGCCAAAAATGTATGAGGTTAAAAATAGAGTTGCGGAATTCCTCTGTTCAAAACCAAAAGATTACTATTGTAAAAAAATAAGACAGCTAGCTTTATTTAAGATGGTAATAATCCATAAGAACTCTAATAAAATTGAATAATAATTAATAAAAAAGTTATGTTATAACAAAATTAATTTAAAATTAAAGAGAAAAATAGTAATTGTTTATGGATCATTTCGTTAAATTACTATATATATTAAAATAAATTGTTTTCAAAACATTTAATTTATTTTTAGCTATTTTTAGTTACCTTTTAAAAGTAAGTTCTTTAAGTTAAGAAAATTAGGATTCATATAAAAATGTAGTAAATTTTATGTGTCCTTTGATATTTAATAAAAAATATTTTGAGCTCTGCCAGATAGAAATCAGATAATTAGCTAAAAACATAAAATTATGCTTGCTTTTTGAGAATTTTTAAAAATTTACTCATTTTGATCGATTGATAGTTCGCTTTTTTATACAGGGCTTAGAAAAAAATGTTCTTTATAAAAGTTGTAGATAATTCTAAGCTCTTTAAGATTCAACATAACCATTTTTTACTTTCACTTAACTATATATGAAATATATGGTAAGGATAAGTATTGAATCTGAGTTTTCAACGTTAATACATGTTTTGAGGTATCCTGAGTCCAAATAACCAAGTCCCACAAAATGGTCTGTGTGTATACGTATGTGGTAAGTCTAGCTCAAAAACGAAAAGTCGTACGAAACTGATATGTATTTAAGATAGGTTAATGCCTTAGATGTTACAGCAACTTTTTCCTTAAAATCGGCTAACCGGAAATGCCACTTCATTTCAACCGTGAAACACATTTTTACAATTTTCTCAAAAACGGCAATAACGATTTTGATTAAACTCGATGTATCCATATGGTATGTTTAAAAAAAATAACTCTCTTTAATTGACAATAACTATGAAAAATGGATAAATATGAAGCTAGAAAAAAATATGATAATTGGACACTGGAAAAAAAAAATAAAAATGCTTATCCAGTTCGAAAACGAATCTCGAAAATAAATAAAGTTGTAGAAGGTAAGAGAGTGACGAAAAAAATATAAATCATAATTACAGAAAAATAACATAAATCAACGTAATTTAACGTAAATCACATGTTTCCAATGAATTTTTTTTACTAAATGTAAACTTTCAAGTTTTTTTTAAGTTTTAAAAAGTATTTAAAATCCACAGAATCATGCTAATGCCATTATTTAAAATACTAATTTTACTTGTGTGAAAGAAGAAGTGAAATATAAAAATATTTCATGGATACGTTTATAACCTTAAATACTTTTGCTTTAGTTTAATAACTCTAGATATGATATGTTTAAATAATTAGGCATCTATTGGCCGTTTATTCCAAAAAACCATCAACTAACCTTTTAGAAAATTAAATTAGTGGATAATTAGATGAATTTTCCCTTTGTGAAAAACCAACAATATCCGCTTACAAATAGTATGGCAACTTTTAACTTATCCACGGTAGACGATGAAAATCTCGTAATTTCATTTTAGTAAACTTTACAATGGAAAATAACAGTTTAATAACTAATATTCCTACAATCCATAATCATTTATTGGTTAAATATTCAGATGTACTTTCAAATCTCTCTAGCCATATATGGGCCTTTCGGTTGACAGAATGGCTAATTCCAATTTTAATATTCTTTATTATTAATTTTAGTGATGTTTCTAATGGCAAAACTTATATCTTTATCCACAGTTCTATATTTTATCTCCGCTATCATCTACTCTGGAATCAACTTGCTCACTGTCTGTATAGATAGAACTTTTACCACTAGAAATATCACAAAAATGACATTACTCAACAATGTTGAAATTGGAGTAAGTCATTCTGTCAACTGAAAGGTTCAGAGACTGAAGTTGTGTGGCTCATAAAACTAGATTCTAATTGCCTACCGTCGATATAATAGAGTTTTTGTAACTTTGATGATTTGTTATCTTTAAGCTTTAGCTCCGTTTAAAATGCACTTCAAAATTTTGTAATACCCCAACATTTCCAGAAAATAATTTCTATTCAAAGTAGAGGGGCAAGTGAAAGTTGTGTGTTGCTCGCACCAGATTTTTAATTTAATTTAATAAATGCGCCATAGAAATTTTTGAGGAGGGCACGTTTTGACAGAGTTTTGAATTTTTGAGAGGACAAATTTTGACAAGGTTATGAATTTTCGAAATGAAGAGGAAACATGGAACAAACCGCAAATAGTGTAATTAAAATGATCTACAACTTTTAAAATTCTATTTTCGCTTGCACTTTTTTTAATAAGAGACTAGCAATAAAAGATATTGGGATGGGAGGGGAAAGGAGTCATGCGCCATAGATCTTGGGGAAGATGGGCACCCCTGATATCACTTTAGAAAAGAGATATTCAGCGAAACAAAATAAGTCAGAAATTTTAATCATTTTTGGAACACGCGGTGAATCCCCAAGTTTTTCAATTTCGAAAACTTGGATGTTTAGTATTCACCATAGACATAACAGATTAAAAAATATTTCAATTATCCTTATTTTTGTAAGATAGATCCCCTTTTTGTGCTAATTTTACTTAGCTAAACGTGCTCAGTCATCACGTTACAAATCAGTTAATTTCATGGCTAATCTTCTCTGTCTTGATTTGATATGATTGGTTTTGATATGATGATGAGGTAATGTCTATGGCTGGATATTGCTAAATTTCCTTAAACAGAAGAGAAGTAGTAACTGTTCTTCACAGTATTAGATATCTACTTTCCAATCAATAAGGATATGACGTGAGAACTGGGGTGCAAGATGCGCCATCATAATTTTTTTTTGGGGGGGGGCACATTAAGTTTTCAATTTTAAGAGAACTTTTAAACCAGGAAACAAAGAAAAAAAGGCACACTGAGGTTTGCGTGTATATAAAAAAATATGGTGCGCTCAACACACAACTTTCACTTACCTATCTACTTTGAATAGAAATTATTTTCTTGCAATGCTGGGCTACTATAAAAATTTTCGAAGTGCACTTTAAACGGACCTAAAGCTTGAAGCTTACAGATAACAAGTCATTAAGATCTTTATAATTACAAAATCTAGTCACTCCATCTGCTTTTATAAACCACACAATTTTCTTTGCTTTTATAAACCACAAAATGACTAACTCAAATTTCAACATTTTTGAGTGATGTCATTTTAGCGATATTTTTAGTTGAAAAAGTTATCTATGCAGAGAATGAGTAAGTTTATTCCAGAGGTGGTGATTGTAGTGTTGAAATATAGAACTGAGGACAAAGGTATACATTTAGGTACTTATTTCTTATGAAAAATGTTCTTAGGAAAGATACTTTATTAAATATCTGTAGAAAAAAGGTTTTTTTAATCTCAACAATTAAAAAAGTATATTTTAAATTTATCCAAATTTTCGCCTCTTCAGGGAAAAAAACTAGAGACCATATATTTCCTCCTAGTTGTCCAATTTTAACGATTTTTTTTTGGATTTTTAGGAAATTCCATAAACTTTTAAAAAACCATGGGCTTTTTATATAACAATATCGCCAAAAAAGTGTATACTTGTTGAGGTATTCGGAATTTAATTTTACCATCCCTCGTAACTTTTTTTCCGGCTTCTTTACGTTGAAGTATGTTATATAGATAAATTTAAAGGGTGTCGAGAAAATGACTTTAGCGAAGTTTCATTTAAATCAGTACATTCGTTTAGATACTACAGTCTATTGCAACGCAGGTTTTTCGGCATTTTTTTCTCCTTTATTAACTTATCAAATTCTTTCTAAAGTTATATTTAGCATTTTTTCATGACTTTGAATAATGTGAAATGATTAACTTTTTAAAATAAACCATATAAAAAGTACTTTAGAGAAAGCCGTATATGAACATTGGGCATTTAAGCCTTGTAAAGTGACATCAATGGGGATAAGACCTAATTGATATTAAAGACCACTTAATTATACAATGATACGCCGAGTTTAATCAAAATCGTTAGAGCCGTTTTTGAGAAAATTGTGAAAATGTGTTTCAGCGTTGATATTAAGTGGCACTTCCGGTTAGCCGATTTTAAGGAAAAAGTTGCCGTCACATCTAGGGCATAAACCTATCTTAAATACGTAATATCAGTTTCGTAGGACTTTTCGTTTTTGAGCTAGACTGCTAACATACAAACAAACAGACACTCAGACCATTTTTCGGGACTTGGTTATTTCGACTCAGGGTACCTCAAAAGGTGTATTTCCGTTGAAAACTCAGATGCAAAAATTTTCTCGATCGCAATACTTAACCTTACTATATATTACATATATACGTAAGTGAAAGTAAAAATATTTAAGGGTACCGCATACTTGGAAGAGCGACAGATATCTTAAGTACTCAACACAAGCAGGGGGGACTTCCGTATAACCAGTTTCAGCATTAACTCAAAAGAAGCCGCTTGTTTGAAATATCGGTATGTGGTGGTACCTTTATTATGTGTATGAAATAAATACAACTAATGCCTTGTCTTTGGCTATAGGACACGAAAACAAATTTAAAATAAAGTAGACAAAAAAATTATGAAATCTTATCATCAGTGACAGGTCGTATCAACATTCTAAAAGAAACTAATTAAGAAATAATGACTAATTTCTCCATCATCAAATTTATTGCCTTCCCCATATTTTAAAATAATATACCCCCTTTTGACAACGCTCTCGCAATTATTTCAGATGAAATTCTCATTTAAAAGGAAAAAACATTTTAAAACAAAATAATAATGAATTCCTGGCATGGGCATACGCAGAGGGCAAAGGGAAGCCTTGCTTTCTCTAAATATTACGATGTTACTTGTTGATTATAATTGCCTAATATATTGATTATAATGCCTTTAATATTCTCGAGAAACAAACCAATATTATATCTACTATATTTTAAACTAACGTTGATATTACATCTCATATAGATACATATTAATTATATAAGTGAGAAGGGCAATAATATTTTTTTTGGGGAGGAGGCATGCGACATGGGGGACACCGCATAAAGATGAAACAAATACAGTTTGGAACTTCGTAAACGATTAAAAAATGTTGACCCAAGTTACATACAAGCTTCCCAACTTCCCTGTTTTCTCAGGTAAGCACATTAAATTATCATAAATTTCTTAATTGGTAATTGGTT